TGAAATTATGAGATAATATTTCTTATTATTTTTTATTTCATATTTGTTGATTTTTCTTGAATCAAATCAGATCTTACAATAATCAACATAATTTGCTATGAAACGAATTCTTTGATAATTTTCAACTGATTTATTGTATGATTTTACTAGTTGAGGAGAATAATGAACAATTGCCAACAAATACATCACCTGTTGGGTTAAATAATTGTGATGATGCAAATGCAATTTTCGTTCCTCGAACATTCAATGGTTTTTGATTGAATCCGTTGATATTTGTCAAAACCTGTGAAGACATTACCGCTTACTTCGCTTGTCTATGTGATGTAAAAAAATCGTTCGTCATAAGGAAACTACTATAGTTTAGGTCATCAGACTGATATTGGTTTTTTAATTATTCTGTTGCTCGCTCCTTTGTTTGTTTGTATCGCATGGATTTATCAAAAAGGTCCACTTTATTTTTATTCGCATGTTATATAGATAATTTAGGACAATGTCCATTTTGTCGTGTAATATTTCTGGTTAATTATTCTACATGATTTCGATGTGAATGGCTTATCATTGATTGAACGTAGTAATCATCATTTTTTTGCCCATTTTCCTAATTTTCTTTTGAGCTATATTCGAAAAAAAACATTCTGAAGATACTCGACTTTGAATATTCAATATGACATCTTTGTAGGATTTCATCCGATGTAATCGTATTTCAAATTTGTCTCCAAGACTAATATTCCCATGTAATTGCCAACAAGAAAAGCAATGATTTCAATCGGCGACCAGTCTATTGCTGATAATAACTCTATGTAAAGTAATGCGACCGATTCAGAGATGCTCTTTGCTTTTTATCATGCAAATATATTAAGACGAAAGTTTCAAGTGACTCTAAGGCACGTTCTGTGACGAACAGCTAGTTCAAGTAGCGTACGGAGCAGAGACAATCAAACACGTGCAGTTTATTTTCGATTATTTCAGATAATAAAATTTTTTTGCAAGTTCTAACGACATTTGAGTTGCTTTCAAATAAATTTCAATATGAATAATCAGTAGAGTGTAAATTCTATATTTATATAGAGTCTACATAGTTATAACAGCACGAAAATGAGTTTTGTTCTTTATCTCTCATAGCATTCAATGAAAAAATAGAAAGTAAAAACTTTGTGTATCCTTGTATACTACAGTTCGTGAACGACTAATGGAAAAAATATCGGCAATCAAGGTTTTACAATGAGTTTCGTACGATTCGTCATCGAATTTTGATTTTCAATTAACCAATTTGTTTTCTGCGATGAGTAGACACTTTTGACAGAGAACTAACTGAGTGATGAGGTGTAGAAGGTGTCAAATTCTATATAGCAGAGCTGAATTGTGTAGCTTCGGCAAAAAAAGAATGTCATACGAAAAAACTTGCGGTTACTCAACGATAACACATGGGAACGCCTGTTATATCACTTTTAAGAGTTTACCAATATCTAAATGAATAATTAGTTTTTTAAATATAGACTAGCAATTCTGTTTCTGCATCTAAGAAAGGTTATACTATTTTGTCTATTGATAAACAATATTTTGTTTTAATACAGATGTACCCATGAAGTCAGTGAAGTCTATTTCTTATAGTCTCTACTATTTTTTTTCTTTTTATTTTACCGATGAAGTCATCAAAAACTATTTTCAAATGGAACTTAATACTTGTTATTATAAATTCAAAAGTTCTACGACCAATATGAGAGCAATTCATATATCAGGAGAATGGCATGAGAACAAAGATACTGCTATCACCGAGAGAAAGCTGGTTATTTTCAGCTTGGTTTGCATGGCTAAATCTAGAAATAAGTTATTAATTTGTAAGCAGAGAAACATGTAAAATAGCGTAGGTATTTTTTCTTATAATGATGCTAACTGATAAAAGATATTTTTGCAATATCGACAATATATTTACTTTGAGAATGAATATATTACGTTGGAACTTATCTTTGAAGTTTCAGTATGTGGATTTATGAAAGAAACTCTTCCAGAGATAAAAGCTACCTATGGTCAATATCTTTTAGATGCGATTTCTCTATCAGCTATTACTTCAAAACTAGGTACAAAACGGGATGTTCGATCGTAAAATGGTTGAAAAGACAAATGTTGAAGTGTTTTTAAAAAATTCTGATTAGTGACCAATATGGCTTATTGTATGGGATCATACTAACATTCCAACGGAGATCAAACATAAATTACGAGATAAGAAAAAAAAAATGATACTCTCATTTTTTTCTTTCTTATCTGTAAATGTTTAATCATCTAAGTATTCCATGGTGCATATAACAATATCATAAGATTGTTGACCAAGATAGCTCATACAACGTTTAGTGGCAATTGTATTCGCATCCTGCAATCTTGCTCCTAAACCTGTACTAAAATAAATACAGGTATAGTGAATTGTGGTTGAGTGATATTCAGTGCAGACGAAGCAGTTGCAGCTATGACTGTAGAATTTTAGTAGTATAATGATTCTTTTTCAGACTCCTTGAGTTAATGAATATCATGTATTGCTCATCACCATTGATACTGATTACTAACCTAAGCTAGTAGAATTTAAAAGAAAAACAATAATAAACTATTTGCGGTTACAGTGACTATTCACTGGAAGCATCGCTTTTATCGATATTTTATTATAGCAATATTGCTTTTTTTAATAACGTTCTTTTTAACCTTTCTCTAGTTACCAAAGCAACTACCATGTAGAATGATTTCAAATTTGTATCCATGTCTCATTACCCTCATTTTGTATCACGACTGAGCATGCCACTTCAATCTAATGCACTGAAAACTTTGAAGTATAAAGAATTAACTAAGTGTTTTAAGAAGGCAAAGCTGTGAAATCTTGCACTGTTTTAATTCTGAGATAAGGGAGGGACTCTGTTGAAAATTATTTTTGATGTCATGCATATTCAGGTCATTATGATAATATATATGTCATACCATTTTAATTTTCTGCTCCTACTTATAAAGTCAACAAGATACAAACTCATTTCATAAATGCTTCAACATTTGTTTGTGACTTAAATACACGACATTAGTAAGCATACGCTTGGAAATATGAGAAACACATGTTTAAAAGAATTTTAATGAATTTTCCAACATGAATAATGCGACTTCACCTTCAGTCTATTGTTCACTAATAGGTTATTTGTTGAAAAATCTATTTTCTTGAAATATAGAATTGTATTAGTCTCTAAAGTGATTATAGGGTGAATCCATGGGAAAAATACCTTTTTTTGGAAAAAATTCTCTTTTGGTATTTTTTCATGCTCAATAGCTAGCACCGATTGAGAAAACATATTTGGCCGAAAAAAGCCGGGACTTGAAAGTGAGAATGCGGAGGATCCAGAGTGTTCTTTCGGTACAACTCATTTTATCATCTATAAAAGGTAGAGAAGTTTTTGAAAATTATCCACGTCGTCAGTTTTGTAGAGCAGCTCACGTCGATGATTTTGATAAAAAAACTTTTCATTTTTTATGAAAAAATAACGAAACTAGAGTAAAAATACTAACAAGTACTGGTATTCTTAAGGCGCTTTAGAAATTTTTCCGGTGATAATCCATTTCAGTACTTGTTACTATTTTGACTCTTGTTTCGTTATTTTTTTCATAAAAAATGAAAAGCTTTTTATCAAAATCATCAACATGAGCTGCTCTACAAAACTGATGACGTGAATACTTTTCAAAAACTTCCCTGCCTTTTATAGATGATAAAATGAGTTGTACCGAAAGAACACTCTGGATCTTCCCCACATTTTCACCTTCAAGTCCCGGCTTTTTTCGGCCAAATACGTTTTCACAATCGGTGCTAGCTATTGAGCATGTAAAAATACCAAAAAAGAATTTTTTCCAAAAAGTGGTATTTTTCCCATGGATTCACCCTATAACGATAAAAGAAAATGAAAAGAAGATTGTCAGCTTTTACATTTGTGATTTGATGAGATGAATATTTTTATATTATTTAAGTTCTATTATGTAAGCGAAAGAAAATCTCATTCTGAGTTGAATAAAAATTGTAAATTCCAATGAAATCCTTTTACAACAACGAAGTAGCAACGTTAAGCTTCAAATTATTTGTGATGTGAAATTTCTTCTAGATAATAGTTATAATGATATTCTTGCAACTTCGTTTTCTTCTTTCTCCATTAGTAGATGATAAAAAAATATTTGTTTTTTGTTTTCTTCTTTATTCGGATCATTCCTTAATGCTTCCATGGTTGCCAATGAGAATACATCATTACGTTGCATATGCACAGTCTACTGCAAATGAGCATTCGGTCTATATTGGCATTAAGTTTATACAGACGGTCGAGTTCATGACTAATTCATAATTAGGGAGCATGCTGTTAACTGTAACTCACGAAAAGTCACATTCTTACCATTAAGGGGTGGGTGTGGGGTGTGGGTGTGTGGGTGTGTGGGTGTGTTGTGTGGATGTGTGGGTGAGTGTGGGTGTGGGTGTGGGTGTGTGTGAGTCTGAGTCTGGGTGCACAAAAGAACCACACCCACACCCACCCCACCCCTACACCCACACTCAAGATGATACTTCATTTTAATTCGAAATTTCTTGAAAATTTTGGATCTTCTAAAGAAGTATCCCAGTGCCACTTGCTCAGATTCTAGCAGATTCAAAAATAACAGATATTGGTGTTAGCTCTATACACCCACACTTCGCACCCAACCCATCCACACATAGAGTAACTATTGCTTAGAAAAACGAGTATTCGAAAGTTTGCTCTTTTCAAGTTTTTACATCGAGTGGAATAATTTTTCAGTTGTTTGTAGTAAAAAATCTTTTCATTTCACTTTTCAGAGAACTAAACAAAATATTTTATAGAGAAGATAAAATTATGAACAATCAAGAGTATGGAATACAAGTACAAATTAAAGTGAAGTTCGGTATCATGTTGCATCTATTCTTTAACTATCAGTCGATTATACGATCTTGAGGAGTTCGGGTATCAAGTATTACTCAGGCATTAAGTTTCATGATAAATCGGGGCACGATGAAAGACTCGAGTGTAATGATCAATAAAACGCATTCGGATGAAGTTGTACAGTTCATACTCAGGCTTAAGAAGTTGACGAAGAACATCGCGTGTTCTATTGGTCGTACTATGACGATACTTTTTAGGTACCTGATTGATGCTACGACGTTTTACAATGTTTACATAGGTGCTGACGAGACCAGTAAACATCAATGGCTGGATATGTTCAAGCAATTCTAACGAACTTTCAAGATATTCTAGAAGACCAATATAAATATAATATTGTTCAATGTTTGACTTTGCAAGAGCTAGAGCAGCATCACTTGTTGGTCTTGTAACTGTATCATCACATATTGATGACTGACCACAAAAGTATGCAATTGGTGAACGAACTCCGTAAGGATGTGTAATACACCGACCAGGATCACCAGTGGAAACACATTCATCCATTGTCATATTGCGTAAAGATGAATGTATCAATGAGCATTGTGTTTCATCATGTGCTACCACACATGTAAAACGACGAAAATCAAAATGTGATAAAGTGCGTTTGAGTGGATCACGCAACTGATTTATATAATAGATAATTTGATTTGATGTTGATGTTAAATGAATAAAGTGAAAGTGGCGCTCGTAAACAACAGGTTGACCACTAGCATTTTTTGTATATTTGAGAAGATCTATAGTCAGATTATGTTGTTCCACGGCCGACAGATGATGATGAATATATCTGCTGTCGTAAATAAATGTGAATGCACCAGTTTGGTTCGATAAAAGTTGAAATAGAATATTCATCAAATAACTGCCACATTTCGGTACACAATTGTATAGAACAACAATGGCTGGATTTCTATTTCTATTGCTCATAGGTAATTCTATAGCCGTAGGATGACGAAGAAGCATTAATATAATTGTACTTGCTATCAAAGTCAAAATCTTGAGATTACGTATAAATATTCTCATTGCAATGTCTAGTCTGTGTTCTGAAAATAATATATAGTTATCGCCAAGGAAATGTTGTTGTTGAAAACCGAGTGGTCTCTAATTCCTTTTTACAATGAGGCAATCATTGAAAACGAATTGAAAGAGACTCAGAAGATTATAACTAGTCAAAGACTACTTATAAAAGTCACATTTTGTGAAATGTGTTCTGACACATCGCCTACTTGGTCATTGATTGCAATCTGGAATACTTGAAAAGTCTGCTTGTCTAATTCACTAGAAGGTTATAAAGTATGAAGACATGCACTCTCTCAGCTCTTTTTCTGGACTGTGGCAGAACTCGTAATGGGCTGAACTGGGCTGATGCAAGTCAATCCATGGGATACCGCTCTTAGGTCCAATCGAGCCCAGCTCAGCCATCGCATAAAGCAGCTTGTCCATGGGTATTCATGGATGATTCGTCCAATGAAACATTTTTTTACAGAATAGTTTAACTTGCTACATTGATCGAACCTATTATTTATCGTTAACATTTTTTAATTTTATCTCTTTTAACAGTAGTGGGTGCCGAGGAATATTATTTCAGAAGAAGTTTAATACATTGGAACTCACACTGCCTTTGACTGAGATAGACTGGATCCCAATTCGCATCAAAATTATGCGTGCATTGTAAAAAGGTTTTGTTCTAAATAGAGTGTATTTACATGAAGCCTGCCTCTCCTCCCCCTGCCATAAAAGAAAACTTCTTCATAAAACATGTAAGTCGCATGAAATTTTCAGAATATACTAAGACTCTGGTGAGGATGCTATGGTAAAATTTTCAGTTTGATCCCAAGAGATTTTCTGGAGATAAAAGGTGCGTAATAAGTTCTGATCTCCTGCAAGTAATATTATTTTCTTGGATGTTTTTTCAGTAGAACAGGTTGATATTTGCCGGATATAAACTAGATATCTAAAGTTAATCTCCACTAGAATTACAGCTTTCTACCTCTAATATTGAGAGACACGCATGTAACCTAAAATTAATATCAATTTTTCGATTTACTGGGATAACTTCTCTGCCATTTTATTAAGAGTACTAAATAAAAAATAATGGTATTTAACGATATTTACAAATCGAAATTCTTTTATCATTATAAGAAGCAAACGTGTGTCACTGTTTATTCATCTATTCACCATCTTGATCAATCTATTTTTGTGGAATTCACGGGTATTGTCGAAGAAAATAGTGAGTGTAAGTTTTAAGCTCAAGTTTTTGTGGTTCTCCCTCCCATATTACAGACACATATCAACATAGGCCACCATTGCGGGTCTCAGCAACTGCGCTCAAAATGCTTCTGATTTATTTAATAATAAAAAAACCACTTGAACAGAATGAAGAATATGGGTTCGACTGCTATACAATACTTCAATGCTTTCATAATTATTTGAAAAAAAAACTATTTTTCAGTTTACAAAGAATGTATTGGGATAAGAAGTTTCAAGGATATACGTGAGTTCTGCATTTCGGGTCCTTTGGAGCTGTGCTAAGAAGCTTTTTTAATCGATTCGGTAATTTTTCTATCATTTTCCAAGTTTAATACAATCGATGTAAGATCTTTATTATTTTCGGAAATATTTGACTTGATAGAAGCATGAATTGTCAAATATAAATTTGTATTAATCTAGATTTATAAGTGGTGTTTGTCATCTTTATTTAAAAACTAAAATGATAACTTGGTTAGAAAATATAAAAGTAAGAAATCAATTTGATCAGTCACTAAAAGTTAAATTAACTCTTCATGTAAGTCGCTCGTAAGTTTTATTATTCTGCACATCATGAACATTAAATAAACGAAAGAGATTCTTCAGGTTATCTCTATAAATAGCCACGTGGATAGAGGACAGAATGAAGGAGGGTTACACAGAAAAATAAAAGCTACTGGCGATCGGAGATTGATCGAATAACTATAATGCTTTCTTCTATGCTGTTTCTAAAAATAAATCAAAAATTGTTATTAATGTCAAGTTACATATATCTCTCTGAGTATCAGAGATGGAAAACTGAAATCCTAGTGCAGAGTAGATGTAGATGTCTAGTATATACTGCAACTATCACCCTACTCTACTGCAAAAAAATTTACAAGAAAAAAATGCTACTTGAAGGGAATAAAAACATATTACACATGCTTTATGTATCAAAAAAGGGTCAATAATAGCTATTTTCGTTTCTCAAATTTCATTATCTGACTTCAGTTTATGTGTTTAATTGTTTTCTTGCGTGCAAGAGCGTGCTAAAATGCGGAGAATACCAGTCTTTTGTTGCGAAATCAGTATCACAAGTGCAATCACTCCAAACACTTCGATGTTTTTGCGCATTTTTCGAGCACTTTTTGAGTAATTGCGCTTGTGATATTGATCCTGCCAAAAAACGTTAGGTTGCAGAAATTTGGGAAACAGAAATAGGATGTGTGTGTGATTGATTTATTCTCTTAATGCACCCACACTCACGCCCTCCATGTATATAGCACCTTATCTTTATCAAAGTACTCTTTAGTGAGCTGAATAAATATTCATAAAAATTTAAGTCGTGAACATTTGCCTTATGCACGAATTTGTAGAGAAGCAATAACCCTATAACATGAACTAGACCGAAGTCTTCGCTTTTTTATCTCACTAAATGCGAAATCAAGAATGACGAAATATCAGATGTTTTTCAATATTTAAGAAGGCACTATTTCCGTAAAGTCAACTACTTTGTACAAAATGCTCTGTGATTTCGATAAGACTTTCAATGTTTGTAAAGCTTGCAATTCTAAGAATTTTGATAAAAAAAAACTTTCTTTTTCATAAGCTGTTATTTTGACGAAGGTAAATTTAAAATACTCTAAGCAGTAGAAGATCATTAATCTTTGAAATATGTTTTTTTTCCTTTTTAGAAGTTTGGCAAATAGTTTTTGACGCTATAGTTCATTAAAACAAGGTTAAAGTCAATATCGAAAACCATATTCGAATTCTTTCTGGCACAGCGTATCGGACAATACCTAAATTCAATTACATTTTTTGATGGAAATCACTTCGACTCCTAGAACTGAAAACCAAGTAGCAGTGGATTATAGGGTGATTGGTGAGCAATCAGGGTCGGTTAGAATCGGTTTTCCGACTACAATGAGGTTGAATTTAGTACTGTTTGATGCCCCGTGTCACCAAGAATCCAAACACGGTCTTCGATCTTGATTTTAACCTTGTGTTAAGGTCCCTACCCCACCCTAATTTTTATTTTAGCGTCTTATCATTCAATGTAGCTGAAGTTTTCAGAGGAGGGGTCTCTCGTGCTAGGTATATCACAGTAATAATTTTCAGTTCGAAATATTAAGTCTACGAAGATTTACGTCAAGCTTATGGCTCAAAATGGAGGGAACCGTGTTTTCCAAATCGGTCTGCCATTTAAAAGGCTAAAAAGCTTGAGTTGCTTTCAAAATATTTCGAAGACGTAGCACTACAACTTAACAGAACCCGAATTTGTATTTCCATTTTGCAGTTGTTTTATTGATTCTTATCTTATTAGATATGGTGATGACAGGGTGTGTATTGTAGTACATTTGAATCTCATGAAACACTAAATATAAAATATAAAATTTCGGCTCCGTTAGGTTGTAGAGCTAATCAGTGCCTTCATTTTGAAACTAATCCGAGCTCTCTAGCCTTTAAAATGCTGGAGAAATTGGCAAAAAAATGAAAGTGTTATAAAAAGACTTTGTTACGGAAAAAACATGAAGAAAGTTTTAGAAGTGAAATTGAAGACTTTTCTATGACAACATAAAGTAAAATAAATTTTTCAGTGATTTTCCATAGATCATTCATCAGAACGAATTTAGTAGATACATGTAGAAGTTTATGGGAAAAGTTTTATTTGTTCCTTATGATTATATTTTGTGCAGGGTCTAATCAATAAGAACTAATTAGTATGATACTGAATAAATTATCTGAATTTATATCGATAATTTTATATCATGTAATAATAATATTTTCAAATGATGTGAAGTAGATGAAAACATGTTGAATTCCTTTTCACATATGAAAATATTCTGGCAAAGTTTATTAACTAGTTTGTCCAAAATCTTAGATAAGGGATGGTAAGTCATAACATTCTGTTTGCTTGATACGGACTGACGTTGCACTGACACCCTTGATTTTTCACTGTTGCTTGATGATGAATTGTCTCTCTCCCTTTTTAGATTATCTGGACGCATCCGTTTCATAATTGGTTTTCTACTTCTCCTTTGGTAACAAACATTTCTTTTACACATTGAAACCTTTTTTAAGACTAACCATATATTTGATACTGTATTAAGAGAAATAATGATCACTTACTGCTGAAAAGACAATTAACAACTGACTTTAATCAACAAATATTCTAAAGCAATCACAAATAAAATATTTTCTTTGCAATTTTTCTTGTCTTCAAAAAATATATATGCTTCACATTGGTGATAAAACACCGAGAAATCTTTTGGTACTTATTCTCCCAATAAAAATTGTTTTACACATGAGTAGTCAGTATGTTCATCCCAGTCTGTTGTTTACTTATGTAGTCACGATTAACAATATGTATCAAGCTATTATATTTGGCGATACACGTTAGCCGTGGCCATCACTGTGAAAAATCAGCAGTTTTTGAAAAAAGAATGTTATTTTCTAGAATAACAATTTTCTAGAATATGAGGTTTTAGAAAAATTCACGTTACATCGTGAAAACCCATCATAAAATCAATAAAATGTAGTGTGTTCGATAGCGGACACGATGCTCTATCTAATGTACTATAAATTACAATATCGAAAATTTACGAAAATAAACTTCTTAGGATGGGAGACGGTCTTAATGAATTATAGTATTGAAAGCTATTGGTCAAACTTCTAATAAGAAAAAAAACATATTTCAGAGATTAATGATCTTCTACTGCTTAGAGTATTTTAAATTT